TACCATATCTAATAGCTTCCTTTCCTCTTGCAGTAACAAACCAGAATCAAAATGCCTCAGAAATGGCATCTTGTGCAGCCAAACGCTAAAGAAAAACAGGAATACTAAGGTTTTTGAGGAATGTTTATTAACATTAAGATATGTACATGGCTCTCTTCAGACCTTGATATTTCAAATGTCATTATTCACAAGCATCAGTGGAATGGATACAGACACTTTTACTTCTTGTTTTTGTGCATAAACAGCCAAGCAACAGGAATTTTTCCCTATGTTTACATTCAGTTCTTATGTCTTAGAGCTGTGGTGGTGATGCATATCAAGAGATAAAAAAGGGTTATTCTCCCCTTTAAGGCAAGGGTCTCCAAACTTGGCAACTTTAAGACTTGTGGACTTCAACTCCCAGAATTCCTTAGCCAGCGATGCTAAGTCTTAAAGCTTCACAAGTCTTAAAGTTGCCAGGTTTGGAGACCCTTGCCCTAAGGAATAAAATAAAACAGTGGAAAGATCCAAGATAGATTGGAAATAGTTTTCCAATAATTTTTGTGTCTCATCAGTGAAATTCTCTACTTGGAAGCAATTTTCAGAATGCAGAAGCCCCTCTTCCTCCCCACCCACCACCAGCATTTCCCAAACAGTAAAAAGGAATGTGTCCTTTGAAATACATTAAGCCATTAGCATCATAATTATATCATGACTGTTAATATACATTTAAAAATATTGCTTTTTTAAATGATAGAATATTCTCTCACAAGACATTGCAAACTACACAATAAATGCAAACAAATATCTGTAGACATGTACATGAATTAACCAGTGGGGCTGGGTGGAGGGAAAGATATAAACATTTTATTTCTGGTCAGGAATTTTAAAAACAAACAACACATCTTTGTCCATTTACAGTTGCAGTGGAGAGAACCGCAGATTGGTTCAAAGAGTAGTCGGCTATTAGACAACTTAGAAGCAATCACTAAGGTGAATCCTTTTTGGTCAATATTTTCTGCGAGCTCCACAATTTCAAAATACAGACTTGCCCAAATGATTACAGCACTATGGATATCAGATAGAAAGTTAAGGCAACCCAGCAGTATTTGAATGACATGTAACTCTGCATTGTCAATGATTGTAAATGGTCAGGCCAGTGATTTTTCAACATCTGCTTTTTTCTCCTTCAGGTGTGGTAGTAATCATTAGGTAGGTCCCTGTAAGATTGAAAAACGAGTTATCCAAAATTTAGGCTCAGTGGAAAGCATGGGGTTGTTTAAGATTTCCTGTAGATAAATGTAGTTGGTTTTGCAATATAAACTGCACAGTGGGATACTTTCTGTTTTAAAAAAGCATAAAAATGAATTGTTGAAGAATGATAGCTCATGAGACCTTTGATGAAATTGCATGGCTGTCTAATTTAGACATGATTTATTTCTGAATTTCTGTAGGTCTGCAAGCTTTATTTGATTTAACTGGTAGCCAATTCAAGTGGAATTTTAGTTGAATAACAAGCAGATGACAAATTTGAATTGGCAGAGCTGAAATCTAAAGGCACAATAAGGTTATTATTTTAAGGCATTTTGATTCTGGTTTGTTACTGCAAGAGGAAAGGAAGCTATTAGATATGGTATTTTTCTAGTAAAGAATAATAACTGTGATGTCTTGGATCTGCTGGGTTGGAGGTCCAGATGGACCGATTCATCCCAGGACAACTTAACCAAGGGCTTTCAAAGGAATATCCATGATGTGTTCCTCTTGGCTGGGCAACTGGACTCTTACCTCTGACATTGGCATGTCCTCTTGGCAAGCAAATGTTGCTTAATTTGTGCCATCCTCTTGGCTTGTTGCTGCCAAAAAATAAAAGAAAGATCCTTCTCGTTTCATGTTCTTTCAGATCTGCTTCCATTTGTTGTTGTTGTTGTAGAACCCAACCTCCCTTTCGGTTTATGGATATGGAGAAACTCACCTGTTTCTGCTTAATACGTTTACAAGTAGGTACACAGACACCAACAAGAATTAACAGCAGAAGCATTGCGCCAATTCCTGAGGCTATTTTGATCAGTGAGAAAGTATTCTCTAAAGTAGTCTCATTTGAGAGCTTTTCTGTGGGGGGGAAAAAGATTGGAAGTTGAGGAGAACAGAATGTGCACAGAAACAGAGCCAGGAACAAGATGGTAGTGTTACTTACCTTGGAACTTACCCAGAATATAGTCAATACTGATTTTCACATCGTTGTTCACTTTGAAATCACACCTCCAGAGTCCTTCAGTTGTAGCTATGTGACAGAATCTATGCTCTGAAACGGGAGAGCCACATTTGGGTTCACTCGTAGAATTATTTACATAAACCCAGCACAATTCAGTCAGTGGAGAGATGATATGGAGTGGAGTGATATGACCACACAAGGTCACACTGTCTTCTTTGGATTTGAGCACAGGAGGGATAGCAGAGACTGCAGGGAAAGCAAGAAAAATATATTAGAGAGATCTTACGAGATCTAGGGGAGAATGTTCCTTCCCATGAAGAATATTTTATCATATGATCTAAAGTACCAGGCTATTCATTCATGGTGCTGGAAAGAGTCCCTTCTCAATGGAAAGAGGACAGAGGACAGATATCAAAGGATTCATACCTAACTTAAATCAGCAGTATGCAAAGATGATTCAAGTTTTCCCATAGATTGGCACCAAAATATGTAGTTGTTCAATTACATAGTCAACTTTCAGAAGTCAGTTTCCCCAAAAATAAGTAGCTCAGAGTAATTAGCAAATCCTTCAGGTGTTGCAGCCATAATCCTGTGCAAACTATATTGATTGAACCATCAAATCAACTCTTCTTCTAATCTCATTGCCCCCATCCAAAGTTGGAGCCCTCTTATTTAATAAAGTTGAGGAATGATCTTTATTTCTCAGCTAGACGTTTCCCCAGCTGCAAGCACAGCAACCAAGGTCCCATCAAAATGTGTCCTTAGCCTTCATGCCAGAGATAGCAGAGTTGGGTTAATTACAATCTACAAAATATTACAGATGCAGGTAGTTCTCCACTTACAACTAGTCACTTAGTGACTATTTGAAATGAAGACAGACCTCCCCCCCAAGCTACTTACGACTATTTTCAAAGTTACAATGGCCACACATGATTACACAATTGTATTTTGGGTGCTTGGCAACCAGCTGACATTTACAGCTGTACGAAGTATCATGTGACCAAGATTTGTGATTGGTTCCTGCAAAAAATGGCAACTGAGGAAAATTGATTTCTTTCACAGCTGCAGCATTTACTTAGCCATCGTGGCATTCACTTAACAAACACTGCAAAAATGTCAAAGAAATTGGGTCCAGTCACATGATGCCTCAACATTCGACTGCAATGACTTAGGACCATAATTTCGGAGGGAAATATGATAATAAATCGAGGATTGCCTGAATCTATAAGACAGAATGGGAAATAGATTCTTTCACACTAACACAGTGTTTCTCAACCTTGGCAACTTGGAAGATGTCCGGACTTCAACTCCCAGAATTCCCCAGCCAGCATTTGCTGGCTGAGGAATTCTGGGAGTTGAAGTCCACACATCTTCAAGTTGCCAAGGTTGAGAAACACTGCACTAACACCTTACTTTTCAAACTTCAAAGTTGGTTTGAATTTACTAAGTACTACTAAAAACCTCCAGTGATGAAGCACCCACAACGACTGAAGGGAAGATGTTCCACTGGATAATTGTCCTCACTGTTAGCAAGTTTCTCCTTAATTCTAGGTTACTTCTCTCCTTGATTAGCTTCTATCCATTGTTTCTTGTCCTTCTCTCTGGTGCTTTGAAAAATAAATTGATCCCTCCTCTTTATGGCAGCCTCTCAAATACTGGAATACTGCTGCCATGCCCTCCTTCTTTTCTCTAAACTAGCCAAACACAAATCCTGAAATCGTTCTTCATATGTTTTAGTCGCCAGGCCTTTAATCATCTTAGTTGCTCTTTTTTGCACTTTTTTTCAAAGTCTCAACATCTTTTTTGTAATGTGGTGGCCAAAACTGGGATGCAGTATTCCAGGTGTGGTCTTACCAAGACTTTTTAAAGTGGTACTATTACTTCACGTGATTTTGATTCTATGCCTCTGTTTATACAACCAAGGATTGCATTAGCTTTTTTGGCTGCTTCCTCACACTGCTGCCTCATGTTTAAGTGATCATCCACTAAGACTCCAACGTCCCTCTCACAGTTACTGTTTTGAGCCAGGTTTCGCCTAATCTGTACTTGTACCTTTTGTTTTTCCTGTAAAACCTTGCTTTTCTCCATATTGAATTTCATTTTGTTGGATAGAGCCCATTGTTCAAGCCTGCCAAGATCTTTTTGGATCCTGAGCTTGTCTTCTGAGGTGTTGGCTATTCCTGCAAGTTTACTGTCATCTGCAAATTTGATGAGTTCGCCTTTTATACCATCATCTACGTCATTTATGAAGATATTGAAGAGTCAAAGAATGAAATAAGATTGGTTTGGCATAATCTGTTTTTAACCAATCTGTGCTGGCTACTAGTTATAACTTTATTTGTTTCTAGATGTTCACAGATCTGTTTTTTAATTATATTTTCCAGTAT